GCGGGCGGCGAGCCCGGGCCGGGGCGCCCACCCCTAGCGGAGAACCCCCCGGGCCCGGGCTTGGCGCCCCAGGGCAGCGTCGGGAAAACGGCCCCTGCCCCAACAGGTGCTTGGCCGCTCGGGGTTGGGCCCCTGCTGCAGCCAAGTGCGAATTCACCGGCGAGCCGGGGGGTTGGGGCTGGCGCGGGCGGACTCAGCCGACTGGAACCGGTGGGGGGTTCCCTGCCTCACTCCCTCGCCTGGGACCGTGCCCGGCGTTGCTAAGACGCCCGTGGGAGCCGGGGCGGGAAGGCTGTTTGGGGTGAGCCTAGAAAGGAGGGGGGGAAAGCAGCCCGAGAGGGGAGACGGCGGGGGACCGTGGTGGCAGGGATCGCAGGTGGGGTCCAGGCCACACGGGATGGGAAGGGGAAGAGCGGGTCTCCCCTCGTCACTAGAGTGAGGCCAGATGCCCTTTGCACAAGGAAGGAGTGGCCAGCCACAGGTATCCCTCTGCGCCGGCCCTTCAGAGGAGCCTCAGACTGGACCCTAGAGGAGCAGGGTCCTTCTCTTGAGGAAATTCCCCCCAAGACCCACGCATTTGAGGTTCCTCCTCTTTTCATCTGCTGGGCAGGACTATTCATTTGAATTGACATCCCCCCTCCAGCCCAGCCGCCACCCTGCAAAGAGGAGGCGGGGTTGAGGGTTACAACTTGAGCACAACCCTCCATTCCCAGGACGCTCACCCCAGGACGGTGAATCGGAATCTGCCCCTCCGTTCGCCTTCCTGGGCGTCTGGGGAATGAGAAAACCAGAACTCTGACAGGGTTTGATGAGCTCCCTGGGGGAAAGCACTGTAGGAGAGGAAGACCACCCAAACCAACAACTTCTACTTGTGTCAATTGTTTAAGCCCCTTGACAAGAAAAAAAAGGAGGGGGGTGGCTCACCTTACGCCTCTCTTTGAGCCTGCCTACCCCTGTGAATGGTGCAGCCCGCCCTGCCCAGCACCTCGTCGGGACGAACTTGGCTTCGTGTCTCTGGCTGAGGGGCCCAGGCACTATGGGGGAGGCAGGCTGCTTTCACAGTTCGCTCTTCTGAGTTCCGCACCATTTGGGGGTTGGTTGTCTACTGGATCATACTGAATGGTAAGTGGGCAGATACTGGGGACCCTCACTTTTGTGCCTGTCCCCTTTTCCTCAGTATTCACTGCATTCTCAGTGAAGCTTCAGGTGTGGCAGAGGAAGCCCTGGGGGCTCTCTTCTAAGAGACGCTTCTGCTGCAGAAGGTGTTTGTGGCACCGTCTGCTCCTTTCCCCATCCTTGAATTTGCCTCTTTGCTGCTCCTGGGACTCCCTCTCCCCCCAGGGCATCCAGGTGATCTTAGGTAACTGGATTTGCCTCAGCTTCATTCCTTCCTCACACACTCTTGTTTTCTTCCCTTCTGGGACCGTGTTGCCACCGTCTGCTCAGGAAGCCTGCGTTGCTCTGCCAGTCACCCCCAGGAGAGGCGTTCGAGCTCTTCATACTTGGGGCATCCCTTGGGCTTGCAGGGACTTCGGAGCCTCTGCCCCTTCATTTCTCATTCCACCTACACCTTCCTGCTCCAGTTCTTATGCCAACCTAGTGACTTCCTGTCCGTAATAAGACAAGCACCTGTGGGTGTCTGCACCCAGACACCTCTTTCTTTTTCATGGCCGAGCTTAAGGGGGAAGAACTGAGGGAGAACAAGTTTCCTTCTGCCTCCGCTCTAGGAAAATGCTGTTAGACTGGCAGCTAGCAGTTACCTGAGGCGTGGAAGCGGGACTTGGGGGACACTGAGGTAGAAGGGGAGGAGGGAGGGAAGCAGGTGGGGGGAGGCAGCCCGAATAACCAGGTTTGGGAGTTGGGGTTCTTGGGAGCCTCCAGAATACATTCTGGCGTTTTCTCAACTGCACTAGGGAACTGGGCAGGTCCCAACCCCTGAGCACTGAATGGAGAAACTGGCGGGAGCTGAGGATGCTGGACTGGACGTCCTTGGGACCTGGACCAAGCCCCTAGCGGTCTAGCTGCGAGGCTGCCCCCAGGGGACCCAGGGAGGCTCGCCAGAGGAGCTGGACTGAGCCCTGCTCTCTCCATCCCCTCTCAGCCTTTCCTGATTCCCAGTAAGTTCTCCCCTCCCAGTCCTGGTGCTCAGCAGCTGCCAGCTGTTGCCCTCGCCCTCTTTCTGAGTCCCGGGTCCACCCTTAGGCGCTCCCTCCAGGTCCTCCTCCCTCCCTATCCTCCACTCTCCCAAACACTGGCCCTCTTCCTAGCTTGGAAGGGGGCTCTCTTCCCACCCACTGGGGAGGGTGCCCCCTTTTACCTCATTCAGCAGAAAGGTTGCACTGGAGTCAGAAAAAGACATAGACGGGGGAGCAGACTTTCCCCTCCCCGGGGCCAGGGGCTCCGAGGAGGGAGCAGGACTCGCTGCAGCTGTGCACACTGGCTTCCGCCCGGCCTCGCCCCACGCCGCGGGCCTGCGCTCCCTGCTCCCTTCCCTCTCCCGCCCCCACCTTTCCGCCGCCTCCTCTCCGCCTCCCTCCGCCTTCTTCCCTCTCCCCTCCTTTTCCGCCTCTTCACTTTCTCCTTCTCCCAGCACCTTTCAGTCCAGCTCCCTCCATGTCTGCCCGCCTGCCTGCCAGTCGGCCTCTGCCCACCCCCCCACCCCGCAAAGGCCCCAGTTTATCTGGGTGCCTCCCCCCCGTCCTCCCTACCCCATACCTCCCCCTCCCCTCCCCCTCCCGCTTCTTCCTCAGCCACTTCCCCAGAAAAGGTGGGGCGCTTCCACCGCCGCCGGCACTAGGAGGGGGAGCTCCAGGCCGAGGGACCCGAGCTGGGGCGGAGGTTCTGCCCCCCCTCTCCCCCACCAGTCCGCTGCGCGGCGCCCATCCCGCGCCCCCGCCTGGGGCAGCTCCGGGGGAGGTCGTCCGCTTCGCGCGGGGTTCCCGGGAGCCACGTCCAGCCACTTCCCAGCCCCAGCCGCTGTGGCTCCCGCGGAGCCGGCCCAGATGGGGGGCGCCCGGCGCGTCGCCGCGGTCACCGCTCTCCTCTGGGTCCGGCTCCGCGGACTCAGCCCTGGC